AAATGGGAGAGAGATTATTCCGTAATCCCAAGGCCTCTATTGTGAATTCATTCAGTTGGATTGGCATTTACCTCGCCTGGGTCCGTTTTAGGGCCTTGCTGCCTAAAAGAGGGTGATGTCGATTAGTTTCTGAGATTGAATCTCCGAAAGGATAAGACGGTTTTTGAGTTTCATTTTGGCATTTTCCTCCTAAAGAGGTTATGTTCAGTTTGGGCTTATCAACTAATTAAAACAATGGTCACTCACTTAACTTGTTTTCTGAAATGATGCCCTAAAGGATGAATTTTATTAATCAAGGGCAAAATAAAATGATGATTATTATTATTGCAATATGAGATGTTGTGGGAGTAATAATGATTAGAAATGTTCTAATTTAATTGGATTGTTAATCGTTATCCCTAAAGGTTTCTTTAACTTTATAATTAAAGCATCATTGAGTAAATGCATATTATTTTGGGTAACTGCATATGCATCATGTATTTTACTCTAAAGTTTATTATGTTATAATATGATCATTGATGGATGGTTTATTGCTTATTTTCAGAAAAATGAATCCTATTGCTTCTATATTGCATGAGAACATGCTAAATGGAAAGAACTATGTAAACTGGACATTAAAACTAGATCTTGTGTTGGCTTATGATAAGATCAAGTGGGTGTTAAGCGTTCCCGTCCCTAATCCTCCGACAGAGGAGTCTAATGAGACAACCAAAGCGTATTGGGTGTCTTGGAGGGAAGCAGATGAGACCGTTAGGACTTATATGATAGCTTCCATGACTGATGTTTTGAAAAAACGATTTCAGTCAATTCCTAATGCTATCGAGATCTTGAAAACCCCACATAAGATGTTGGTGATCAAGGTAGGCAAGCTAGGAGAGAGGCTATCCAGAGATTTATCAATCTAAGTAGGGTGCCTCGCAGCTCGTTCAGGAGCACATGTTGAACGTGATGGCCTGTCTGAATGAGGCAGAGATACTTAGTTCTATTATAGACCAAGAGACTAGGATTGATAAGGTCCTTGTGTCACTCAATGACTCCTTCAGTCAGTTCAAGTTCGACTATGAACTGAACCACAAGGACTATACTTTAGTGACTTTAATGCACAACCTTCAGTGAGCTAAGGTCATTATTGCAAGCACCGCGTCATGTTATGACTAATTATTTTAATATTGATTGATGCAACATAATTTGGATAGGCACCGAAAAAAATAAAGAGCGTTTGGAATCAAAATAAAACTAACCACACAAATAACGCAACAAGTAAAGAGAAAGAAACACATACAATTTATCTTGGTTCACCCAAAACTGGGCTACGTCTAGCAGAGTCAATATTATTGTAATATTTCCTCACCTCTCTCGTTACAATGAATGTATTTGCTATAATTTTTTATTTCACTCATACAAGAGAATAATGTCCTTATATATTAGGTTTATTAAGAGAAACCTAAAACTACTAGGATTCTTATTCTTAAGCCAAACTCTATTAGGAGTTCTATTCCTTAGAGAATCCTAAAATGGGGCTATTCATGGTATTAACCCAAACCATTTATAGCCCACTCACTAGGGACTGGGACCCTCGTGTGTGTCGCCCCTTATAAGCGAACCCCTTATTGTTGAAGTGGTCGCCAATTCCAATAGGCAATAGATATGCTCTAGTGTAGTGGCTTGAATCCACGAATACGTCCGAATCCACGAACACGTCTAAATCTCATATCCACGAGAAGATGCCAAATCCATAATGAAACAAACCCTCAAGAAATTTTATTGAAAAACCGTTCATCATTGTTTCTAGTATAACAAAGATAAACTTAAATTCAATTTTAACAATTTAAAATTCAAATAATCATAAAACATTTCAGTAAGTGCACGTATACCTTGGGAAATTGGTTACAACTAATTGGAAAATGGCTATTTTAAATAACGTAAAAGCGATGAAACAAATACGCCACACAACATCTCTGTTTTTCTGAATACGGTGCTGAAATTGCGTCAATTGATGAACAACAACTAATATGGCAAAACCCTGCATCGTATAGCTTCAAATCAAAATCAACAATGCCTTGTTCATGTCATTTCTACGCCAAATCATGAGTAGAAAACGATATGACCATCCATCGCCACACGGATGTTGAATGATGCCAACTGTGTCGTTCATATTAAACCACATACGATGACAGGCCGTGTCGTGTTATAGGTGGTAGTGTGACAATATTCTTTGTATTGTTTCTAACTTCATAGCTTTTGGTGTTTTTCCTTGTAGTCTAGATTTGAATCAACTTTGAAAATATTTTGGGATGTGTTTCATAAAACATAATCTTGAAATTGCTTTGGTATACAAAATCTATAATGTTATATTTGGAAGAATAAATTTTGAAATAATTGTGGCATTGATCGTGAAGATATTTGTTTCAGTAGTTTGTTTGCTTCAGTTGAATAATCCCTCTTATTGAGGAAACTAGATAAGTGTTTGAACAAGTCTTTGTGTTTGAACGTTTCCTTAGAAGAATCCCATGAAATTAGGAGTTGTTAGTCATGGATTTATCTTTCTATTTTCACCAATGTTGTATAGCCTATTTAAGCCATGTTTCTCCTTTATTAAATGTAAGACATTCTCTCAAAGCAGAAACACTTGATTATCTTACATTTGGTATCAGAGCTTCTACACGGGACCTGACCAAGAAAGAAGCAGTAAGCACCAATGGCAAGAGAGTGAAGTAACTTCATACAACTGGCTATCCCACGATTTGATGGCCATGATGGCCATTGAAGCACGCTGATGGAGAATCTCTTGAAATCTAAGGAGTATTGGAGTCTCATAGAGAGTGGGATCACACAATATCCTGACGGAATTGTCTTAATTGATGTCCAAACCAAAGCTCTAGAAGAACAGAAGTTGAAAGACTTGAAGACCAATAATTATCTGTTTCAAGCTATAGATCGAGCCATATTGGAGACTATTTTGAAGGACTCAGCAAAAGACATTTGGGATTCGATGAAAAAAAAGTTCCAAGGCACGACTCGGGTCAAGCGTGCACAATTGCAGGCTCTTCATAAAGAGTTTGAATTGCTCCACATGAAGATGGGAGAATTAGTCAATGACTATTTTGCAAGAACACTAACAATCATGGAGAATAGATGGGAAATGTGGTGGTCATTGAGAAGATTTTGAGGTCAATGACACCTAAGTATGATTATGTGGTTTGCTTTATCGAGGAATCAAATGAGATCGATGATCTTTCGATTGATGAATTGCAAAGCAGTTTGCTTGTGCATGAGCAAAGAATTATGGGTGATGTAATGGAAGAACACACCTTGATAGTAAGTATAGAGAATCACTCACTTGGGCGAGGTCGAGGCCGAGGAGGATATAGAGGACGTGGAAGAGGAAGAATTGATAAGGCTACTGTTGAGTGCTACAATTGTCATGAGCTGGGGCATTTTGCTTATGAATGCCCTCAAAAGAAGGACACCAAGGCAAATTTCAGTGAAGCTGAATAAGAAATGTTGTTGATGTCTTATGTAAACATAAAAGATGACCACTCTAACAAATTATATTATCTTGATTCTAGTTGCAATAACCACATGAGTGGAGATAAAACATTGTTTTCAAATCTTGATGAAACATTTAGAGAAAAAGTGAAATTAGGGAACAATTCTAGTTTAGGTGTCAAAGGAAAAGGAGACATCAAGATTAAAGTGAATGGAGTTGTGTACTATATCTCTGAAGTGTTTTATGTACCAGATTTGAAGAGCAATCTCATTAGCCTTGACCAATTACAAGAAAAAGGATTTGTTGTTCTCATACAAAAGAACACATGTCAAATTAATTTATTATCCTGCGAAGGGTCCACTTATGAAAGTTGAGATGATATCAAATCGTATGTTTCCATTGCAAGCAAAACACTCATGTGATAATGCAAAATGCCTCAAATCAACCATTCAAGATGATAGTTGGCTGTGGCACTATAGGTATGGACATTTGAATTTCATTGGATTAAAGACCTTGAAACAGAAAGACATGGTGACTGGACTACCTCAGTTGGAAGCTCTGTCAGAGGTCTGTGAAGAATGTATGATCGGAAAGTAACATTGAGAAACATTTCCTTAGAAGAGCACTTGGAGGATCTCTCATAAACTTCAGTTGGTTCACTTGGATATTTGTGGACCTGTTAAACCCATATCCAACAGCGACAAGAGGGACTTCATAAACTTTATTGATGATTTTAGTAGAAAGGCTTGGGTGTATTTTTTTATCTAAGAAGTCTGAAGCTATAACTTGTTTTGAGAAGTTTAAAGCTATTGTTGAGAAACAATCTGGGGTTTTTATTAAAGCATTTCACACTGATTGTGGAAGAGAGTTCACTTCACAAGAATTCATTAATTTTTGTGAAGTGAATGGTATTTATAGGCAGTTAAATTTCAGAGAGGAAAAATCACATCATTATGAATATGGTACGTTGCATGCTTGCATGGATGAAAGTGCCAGAAACATCTTGGCCAGAAGTAGTGAATTGGAGTGTTCACATTCTAAATAGATGCCTAACTTTTGCTGTGAAAGATGTCACTCTGGAAGAGGCATGTAGTGGGAACAAACCAGGGGTTGTTCATTTCAAAGTATTTGGTTGCTTAGCATATGCTCATGTGAATGATAATTTACGGAGCAAACTTGATAACAAGAGCATAAAATGTGTCATGCTTGGAATTAGTAAGGAGTCCAAGGCTTATAGGCTATATAATCTAGTTACAAAAAGGATTGTAATTAGTCAAGATGTGGTCTTCGATGAAGAGAAATGTTGGGACTGGATAGATGGAGGAAAAAAGATTGTTGTTGATTTTGATTCTACTAAAAAAAAATCAGTTGAAGACATCGTATCTGAAGCATCAGAAAGTGCTTCATTAGAAAATGAGTCTTTAGCAAACATATAGTCAAAAATTGAGTAATCTAAAGACAAGTGAAGCGAGTACATAACCACAGAGCCAAGATTAAGGAGAACTCCAACATGGTTGATAGATTATGTAAATTATTTGATGATGGAAATTCTGCTCAACTCACTTTGTTTGCTGACAATGATCTGATCACCTTTAATGATGCTGTGAGAAGCTCAAAATGGAGGAGGGCCATGGATTCATAAATTGCAGCAATTGAGAAGAACTATACTTGGGAACTTACTGATTTGCCAGCAGGGGAAAAAACCATTGAAGTGAAATGGATATAAAAGTCAAAGCTCAAACAAAATGGAGGGATAGACAAGTACAAAGCCAAATTGGTGGCTAAGGGCTACACACAAAAGTATGGAGTAGAGTATGCAAAGGTGTTTGCACGTGTAGCAAGACACGATACAATTCGATTGGTGATATCCTTGGCAGCTTAAAACAATTGGCCTATCTACCAACTCGACATAAAATCAGCTATCCTGCATGGATAATTGAATGAGCAGGTGTTTGTAGATCAACCTCTAAGATATGTACAGAAGGGAAAAGAACAGAAGGTATTCAGATTAAAAAGGGCTTTATATGGATTGAAATAAGCTCCTAGAGCTTGGTATAGCTGTATAGAAACTTACTTCTCGAAGGCGGGTTCCAAGACGTGTCCATATGAACACACCTTGTTCACCTAGCATGGAAAAAGAGGTAAAATCTTGATGATATGTCTTTATGTGGATGATCTTATATATACTGGAAATGATGAGGAAATGTGTGATGAATTTAAGAACTCTATGATGATTGAATTTGTGATGATAGACCTAGGGAATATGCATTACTTCCTAGGTATTGAAGTGTAGCAAACAGCGAGTGGGATCTTCATTGGGCAAAAGCAGTATACTTAGGAAGTGCTTCAGAGATTCCAAATGGGCAATTGCAATTCTATCCAAACTTTGATTATGCGAGGAACCAAGCTCACCAAAGATGTTGAAGGGATAAAGGTTGATAGCACTCACTTCAAACATATTGTGGGGAGCTTAATGTATCTAACAACCACACGACCTGATTTAATGTTTGTAGTGAGCCTCATTAGAAGATTTATGGAGTCACCTACAGAGCTACATTTCCAAGTAGCAAAAAGAGATCCGCGTTATCTAAAGGGGATTGTCGATTTTGAACTAATCTATAAAAGAAAATTAGAAGCAAATTTGGTGGGGATACAATGACAGTGACTATGGTGGTGACTTGGAGGATCAAAAGAGTACTTTAGGGTATGCTTTTATGTTCAGTTCAGCGGCTGTGGCTTGGTTATCAAAAAAGCAACCTATGGTCAATTTATCAACCACTAAAGTATAGTTTATAGCTACAGCTTCCTGTGCATGTTAGGTAGTTTGGATGAGGAGATTAACTAAAGAGTTATGTTGTCCTCAACATGAAGTTACTCAAATTTTCTGTGATAACAGTTCAACAATTAAGTTGTCCAAGAATCCTATAATGCATGGAAGGAGCAAACACATAGATATCCGATTTCATTTTCTTCATAATCTCACCAAGGAAGGAGTGGTAAAGCTAAGTCCTTGCGAAAGTCGAGCAACTTGCTGATATATTCACAAAACCACTAAAATTGGAAGCGTTTCTGAAGATGTGCAATCTGCTTGGAGTTTGTTCAAGTTCATGTGTAAATTGAGTACTTAATTTGATTCAGTTTAAGGGAGGATGTGAAGATATTTGTTTCAATATTTTTTTTGCTTTAGTTAAATGATCCCTCTTATTGAGGAAACTAGATTAGTGTTTGAACGTTTCCTTAGAAGAATCTCATGAAATTAGGAGTTGTTAGTCATGGGTTTATCTTTTTGGTTTCACCAATGTTGTAATTAAGGCATGTTTCTCCTTTATTAAATGTAAGACATTCTCTCAAAGCAGAAACACTTGATAATCTTACACTGATAATGACCAAAAAAGACATTTTATTTATCAAAATATTTTTTAAGTTTAAATTTGTATTTTGAAAAGTATTTAATAAATATTTAAAAAATTTATTATCATAATTTATATTACATAAATTATTAATTAATTAATCATTTAAAAAATTAAAAAATATAGTGACTGGTTGACCGTCGGTCAATGGCAATTAACCGTTGGTCAACACGTCACCTTCGATACTATCAAAATCGAAACATTCCGATTTATCGGAATCCGCTTGAAAAGTTGGATTTGACACCGATTTTGGTCACATAAAGGGCGAAAGCTTCAATCACCTCATGCCGCCAAATGAAGTGTTGAATTTTTTTTTTTTTTTTTTTTTGGCAGAAACATAAGAGTAGAGTAAGGATTCAAACAGTCGACGATAATGGCTATCCCGTGGTTAATGTAAATGTCACCATTGAGCAAAATCCTGCATCAAGACTACCAATTGGTTGTGCTACAAGCAAGCTCATCCTGGAAAACGAAAAGTATAAGCAATGGTTCACTTCAAGTTTTGGCTTAACAACATTTGCAAATGAAATGAAGTGGTACAACACTGAACCGTCCCCTGATATAGAGAATTATTCAGTACCTGATTCCATGCTTCAATTAATGAAACAAAACAAGATTTTAGTTCATGGTCACAACATATTCACCGATGATCCGAAATACCTACCCAGTTGGTTCTCATGGACAGCAAGTAAGAGTCCGGCTATTGGAAAAAGGCTATCTTCCATAAAGGCCAACTTATTGGTTGGGATGTTGTTAATGAAAACTTGCATTATTCTTACTTTGAAGAAATGATGGGGGAAAATGCATCCGGATATATTTACAAGAACGTTAGTCAAAATGATCCATCAACTTTTTTGTTATGAATGAGTTTAATACAACAGAGAATCTTCGAGATCAGGCATCAACTCCCTCTAAATACATTAAAAAGCTGAAAGAGATCCAAAGCTATATTGGAAAAGGTTCGGGAATGGCTATTGGGCTCCAGTCTCATTTTGATGTTCCCAATCTCCCTTACATGAGAGCTGCAATTGATACTCTTGCTTTAGCTGGCGTTCCCATTTGGCTCACAGAATTGGATGTTCCAAGTGGCATCAACCAGGTAAATATTTAATTAATTGCATTATGCTACTTAATTAACACCCAACATAGTACCCAAAATAAAAAAAAAAAAAAAAAAAAAAAAAAAAAAGATATTACTGAGAGTTTCATAAATTATATAAACCTAATTATATTAATAGATAGAGGACTTACGTATATAGATCCATGAGATATGGTAATTCACCTAGTTTTGAAAGATATATTGCCCTAATTCTTAGGACTTGAAAGTTGAGAGTTTTCTAGTTTAATTGTCTTTTTAATATTTAGAGACTATTTAAAGTGTAACTTCACAAATATCTCTATTCTATTTTATAAGTTCAACTTTATTTATTGTTGCATATAAAATTTCCTTTTCATAAATTAATACTAGAAAACTGTTTACATTTTCTTAACCAAATAACTAACAATTTTTTTCACAAAAGCTCAAATTTTATGAACTCTACTTTAAAATTCTTCTTTTATAAGCTTTACTTGAAGATGTCGTAACAAATAAACCCATAGAACATGAATTTAACTGTACTGATTTATTATATAAAGATTGTATCAATCCATTGGATACAGTCAATTTTAGTTTGATTCTCTAAAACTCATTGTTAAGAGTTTCTTTAACAATGTCCTTCAACAGAACCCGAAGAAACAAACAGATTGAGCAAATATTATGCTGACATGTTTTTATATTTCTTGGATGACTAATGTTGGCAGGCAGAATACCTGGAGCAGATTTTAAAGGAGGCGCATAGTCACCCTAATGTGGAGGGAATTATACTTTGGGCTCCATGGTCGCTGGAATGCTACGGTGGTATGTGTTTAACTGATAGAGATTTCAACAACTTGCCGACTGGGGACGCTGTGGACAGACTGTTTTGTGACTATTGGAGCTCCAAAAAGTTGGAAGGTAAAACAGACAAGAATGGGAATTTTGAGACCTCCATTTTCCATGGAGATTACAAGGTGAGGTTACATCATCCCGACCTCCTTATTTCCCCAAGCGAGTGCCATCAACACTTTCCTTGCAAATCAGTCTTCATGTTCGTAAATGAATAAAGTTAGCTTTTTTCTTTTATTTGTCAATCCTTTCGGTTTGAACAATTACGATGTTGCTTGTATATAGATATGGAAAAATAAATACGAAATTTATATCTAATTCACATAGAAAATAAAAAAGCTTCCTTTTGGTGAAAATATGGTGCGCATTGGACACTAAGATTCTAATGATTGTGGTTCCGATTGGTTCACTATTTTGGCACTTTTTAGAATAGTCTTTCGAAAAAAGTTGTTGAGTTATATTAAATGAAATGGGATTTGAATTTGAATATATGTTTGGTACACTATTTAAATATTATATTAGAATTAAATAAATTGTTTAGTATATTTTTATGCATTTTATTAAATTTTTTTATTATTTGACTTATTGAACTTTTCAATTTACATTTAAATAATATTAATTAGTTTTTGGTAATTCTTTTATCAGTGAATCAAAAACAAATTCTCCATAATAAGTTCAACTACTAATATATCATTTAAAAAAAAAAGACATTAATTCATATCTAAATTAATAATACAAAACTACTAATAATCATTCCTTAGAATCCCTCGTACCCCTATATTCAATTAACAATTATGAGAAAGACTTATGTTCTACCCACATAGTAGTAGTTATGCTATCCCTCAGAGCTTCCATGTCGTTTATATTATGTTGATTCAGTTGATTCGAACCCGCCCTATTCCCTTCCTCATAAACTCCATCGGAATTAAACTTTTGGAAGATAGGGTTGTTCATATTGAACCTTCTGAGAAAATTATTAATTACACAACATGCCATAGCAATTTTAGCTTGCTTCTCCAATGGGTAATTGTTCATGCCATCAAGAATGCGGAACGTTTGTCCTCTTCACAACATTCCGAAGCGATGCATGTTTGTAATTAAACAACTATAGGGATCCAAAAAGGTTACAACGCGCGTAGGGAACATAGTAAGGAACCCGTCTATGTGGAGCGAGGAACCCACCTCTGTTCGTATAACCCGCATCTACTAGTAATATTTTCCTATAATGAAATACTGAACGTTATTTGTAGAATCTTAAAAAAAAAAAAAAATGTTTACAGTTTAGCTAGAATACATAAAGAAGTTAGTTATACCTAGAGGAGGATGTGGGAAACCCGAACAGGATTATCTAGAACTGAATTTAAAATCCTTGTGTCATGGGTAGATCATTTTTAGCCGGTGACGACGTATGTGAACAACATATTGAAGTTGTAGACAGCCATCACATTTTGTACGTACCGGCAATCTCAGCTAGTGCCCATGCATGTACATGTGTACCATCAATCGCTCCAATACAGTCCTATCGACAAAATTGCATTTTAATAATATCTGAAGACTAACAACATTTATAAAACAATGAACTTAACTACCAACTAATTAAAAATAATTAAGTACCTTAAAGAATGGGTAATAGTTTGGGTTGGTCGATATCTCCAATGGAACATCATTGAAGTCAGGTGGCTTGATAAAATCTTACTTCAACTCCAATATCGCATCACAAACTGTATAGACATATCTAGAAATTTTCTCACCAGAATGTTGGTAATCCTCCATACAATCAATATTTGACGCATTTTTCCCAACTATTGTCAAAAATATCATTACTTGCTCTTCAATACTTATGCGCCTGGTTACTTGCACTTTGCCTTGTTGTGCCAATATATAGCACAAGGTCTGAAAACATCGTTTGCCCATGTGACACTTATTGTATATTCTTGTAGGATGACCATTTAGAAGTTCCACTATATAATCATGACCATTTAATGCAGATATATGTCTAGGTTGGTGTCCTTGCATGCTAAAGTCCGTTTCATATGCAATAGGCCCACACAATGCAGCTGTAGTGTAATGCCCCACTCGAGGTACGTAGCTAATGTTTCTTCTTTTGCTCTTATTTGAGTCGGTTTATTAGTATTATTGTTTAGTTGGCCTTTGATTGAGTGGTATGTTGAATACTTGCCTTAAAATTGGTTGAAAATAGAGGAAGTTTGGTGTTTCAGGCTTCGCTGGGGCGAAGAGGAATCTTCGCCGCAGCGAAGAGGTGTTGAAGCCACGGGGAAGCTGCTAGACAGTTTCGCCGCGGCAACAGAAGCTTCTTCGCCGCGGCGACATTCCGACCAATGTTTGTTAAGTTTTAGATATTTTCTTCCCTAAGGGCAATTTGACCATTCTACCCCTAATTAGTAGGAAAAGTGGGGGTGTGTTTGTAATGAATCAAAGGATATAGATGGAATTCCTAAGGAAGAGTAAGGGCAAAATGGGAATGCTTGTGCATATATTATGTTAAAAGGAATTAAGTCATTGGAAACCCTTCATTCTTCTTCTCCACCGCCACTCTCCTTTCTTACTTCCTCTCAATTTCTCTTTCTTTTGTTCAAGGATTTTAGAGGGCTTTTGGAGTGATTTGGGGTAGAAAATCAATCTAAGGTATCCTAAGGTAAGGATTCTTGCTTTGGATGTGAAGTTTTGTGAGATTTTGAGTATATTTGAATATTGGGGGCTTTTGGTTGAATTGTTTAAAGGGTTTAGAAAAGTCAAGCAAACCAAGAGAAATGAAGTGCTAGTGAGACCTCTCCTTCACAAGATAAGTAAATTCCAATACAAGTTGAGATTTGAGAATTTTCTTGATTAGAATTTTAATAGCAATTATGTATGTATGTTATATACATGCTATATGCTATGTTATTGAGTTTTAAATGGAGATTATTATTGCTTGTGGTTGTTCATGCACTTCAATCATGAGAAGTGAGATGTGGGTTGGAAATGTAGTTTGAGATGGAATTGAAGAATATTGAGAAATCCTTTTTAGAAGTGTTATTCTATGGCAGGAATTATGGCTATGTGAGGGAGTTTTATCCCATTTTGGATGGTTAGAGAAAGACATAGAATTATTGTTATAGTAGAGTTTTATTATGCACTTGAGTTGTTTGATGAAATGACTAATAGAGGGTTGAGTATGAATAGTAAACCTTAATTCTCGCAACATTGCATGTTGGCATTTCATAAGTGCATTAGTGGAGATGAACCATCCATAGGCATTAATTGTGCATTGAAAAATGACTTAAGAAAGAGTAGAAAACTTTGTGTATGCACTTGCTCTATGAGTAGAGAGAATGAGAAGTGCTAGAGTAGAGTGAATGAGAAGAGCATTAGAAACGGGTTGATGCTTTGTGATCGTCACCCGATGGTTATCAGAAACGGGTTGATGCTTTGTGATCGTCACCCGAATAGCCCTTACAGAAACGGGTTGATGCTTTGTGATCGTCACCCGATAGTAAATAGAAATGGGTTGATGCTTTGCGATTGTCACCCGAAAGTCATGAGACACGAGTAGGTGCTTTGTGGTCTCCACCCGATGGTTATGACAACCAGGTAAGTGCTTTGTGATCCCCACTCGGTAGTCACTAAAAGCGGGTTAGTACTGTGTGAACTCCACCCGACAGTCATGAAGAGTGAGATGGTGTTGTGTGAACACCATCCGACCGTACCTCCAGTAAGATGAGGCCATGACATTTAGTAGAAAACAATAGAAAGGAAGTGTGAGGAAAGAATTAAGAGAAATACATACGGGGATAGACAAATAGAGGGTTTGCTTACTGAGCATTATTTTGTACTCACCCCGTCATTTTCCTTTGTGAATGTAGGATCTAGGTGATGATGCAGTCGGAGGGGCGTCGGCAAGCGAGAAGCAATAGCTACACTGTTTCCCCTGTTTTTGTCTTTTTAAATGGCATTTTGTAAATAATGCTCTTTGTGTATAAAAGACTTATTACATATAATAAAAAGAAAAGTTTTGGGCCCATTTTCTATTATTATTATGCATGCATTGTACTAGTTTACAGCAGTTGTTACATGTAGCATGTACATATAAATCTACATCTTGACCTTCATTATCTCGATTACGGTTTGTATGGCTAGACGATGCCATCTATACCTATCCATTTGTAACAATTTGTTCATTAGTTCATACTTTTTTAATACTAACCTAAGTATAAATAATATTCAATTTTAAAATCAGTTGACCATATCCAACATATATGAAACATTGCACAACAACACATGGTGTATTGGTTCTTATAACAAAGCAAGTTAAGTCTTTAATATGAAGGAAGTAACTATAAAATATCTCAAATGTCAAAGGAATAAATAAAGACTAACAAGTGAAAAATACAAGTTCAACAAGGAAGTCAAACATCGTCATCTACATACTACAGAAGTCACTATAAACCCAAAATTCCCTTATCTCTGGTGACATGTTCACCAATAGCTAACGCCACTCTGGGTTGGCAATTAAGTACTTCACAACATCTAAATATAGCTGCGGTGGAAGTTGCATGCTTTCCAAAATTGCTTGACAATTTTCCAAGTAATATCATGTTAGGAAACGACCCGGTTGCACAGCAGAAAACAAAAATTTTATACAACCGTAGATCGTTCCTTAAAGCCCAAAATCAAGGCACAAATTTTACGGTTTATGTATAATATCAAGAGTCTGCAGAAAATAAAATAAATATAAAGTTTAGATTCATACCCACATTGGAGGCTCCACCAATATTGTCTTTGAACGTGTTTGCTACCGATCCAAGCATAGGATCGAACCAAGAAGTCCACACGAAGACAACCACCAAGAACCAAGGAGGGATTTGCTAGATCCTCCTTGGCCTTAAGAAATCAAGAAGAAAAGAAGTATTTGATTTTTCAATCAAAATGGTGAGAGTGGCGTGGGAGTGAGAGTAAAAATGGGGCTGCTGTGTTTTTGTTTTACAATCATAAATGAGCTAAAAGGTTAAGGTTTTACAAATGAACATTTTTCTTTTATAGTAAAACCTTAATACCCTATTCCCACATGGGATGGGCTTGGGCTCCAGCCCAAACACCCCATGTTGCCAAACACTCCCAAATTAGATATTTTATTTATTTCATCGTTATTTCAATTAAAAATCAATTAATATATATATTTAATATATATATATTAACATTTAACAATAATGATAATTTATTTAAATATATGCGAACAAATATTTTAACGGAATTTCACTTATTTAATTTTTCTAACAAATTAAATAAAGGCTACGACCTCAGCAAATTTAATTGCACTATGAAATTACCAAAATACCTTTTCGCCCAAAAAGATGAAAACGCCCTTCTTTCTTCTTGGCTCTTAAATTATCTTCTATGTGTGTGACCCATAGGCTCCTCATCATACCGGTAGTGTATAGTATTGCGATTAACACCAATTAATCGTCTCACTTATACACAGACCAAGATTGACCCCTAGCAAGGCATCATGGCCACCCGATAGATTCGGATTCAGCAAAGTAGCTACCTGTCAACGATATGGTTACCGTACAATACGATCCTTTCATCATACGTTATCTCGACGAGACGAAGGCATAGAAATAGTGTCAACCTTCGGTTACTCTCGATATTATATATTCAGTTTCTGGACCAATGACCCGTATTATAATCTGGATAGAGCAACAACTCAATCCCACTGTGGCCACAGTTTTAGTGTCATTGCCATATACTGAATTGCGCCGTGAGATAACTTCTCCCGTACCCGGGAGTGATGAATCCTCTGTCAATCCACCATAGTCTTGATACACTCCTTGATATAGCCAATCACCACCGTACTGACAGCTCTGAATAGAACTGCGTTAGGCTAGTGTCAAACTGTACCAATCGGTGCACAAGACGCTCCGGTGATCTCAAGTCTAAGGATCACATGCACCACCATTCGTTAGAGGATTTGTTCCATAGACACTGGGGTTACCATCCATATGGAATCCTATGGTGGGTCAGTCCAATGAACTTGCTGCGGTATATCCGCCTACAACAAGCACCCATGTGTTGCACCAGGTTGTCATCAAACAACCTTGACAAGTGAGATCAGTCACTGTCTTTCGACAAGGTCATTCAACACTATGATAGCCTTACCGTATTATCTATGCCCTTACTTTAGAATAGTACTAGGGCTACGGACGTTTCTAGAATGGCCACCATATGTACTCATAGGGTTCTCACTATCAAGATTTGAAACACTTGATACCCTCGTCACAGTTCTACCATTCTAAGGACATATATCAATACATATTGCAATAATCATGATTTATGCGATATAGGATAAAATGCCTTTCATTATTGATTAATGAACATTATTACAAAGAGTCAATTCTACAATAATTGATTGGCTCTAAGGCATCTATTCTAACATATCAATCCATCCCAACATTTGTGTTCTCTTGGGTCCCATCATTGACACCGCGATTTGATGTCACATATCCCATAGTCCTATCGGAAATAGCTTCCGCCAACTGACCAATCACACCCATTAATGGGTTTCCCTACACGTCTCTCCTCCTCCTCCTATTTACAAATTGGCTAGATTCAGACATGTTAGATCGTTTTTCCCCAGTTGATCTATCGGGATCAGGTTCAAAGTCATATGGATCCATGTTTGCCTTGGCAGGATCGGGAAAACCCATGTTAGCTGCAGGTTGAGACGCAGATGTGTAAGCAAATCTGCTAATTGCATTTTGATTCTTGAATATGACCTCATATAACTCTCTATCAACAAATCCCTTATGTAGGAACTGCAGCGCCCCAGGGTTTTGCTGTTAATGAAAACAAACATACATTAATTCATATTTTCTAAAAAAAAAATGCATACCAACTACTGTGTTAAAAGAATTGAAAAAAATATATATGCTGTTTACCTTTACATATTCTTCCCAAATCTCTTTAGGACATGTTGGAGTTTAGGACTCATGATCCCAACCAAACCCCGTATGTTACATTAGCGCACACCAAGAGTTGTATGTTGATCGCAAGCAAAAGTACTTAGAAGAAAATTGTGACACTTCCAGTTTCTTGTTTGATACATTTTGTAACTATTCACTAATCCTCCTTTGGTTGAGCAAGATGCAAGTTCCAGCAAGTATGCAAAATATTCTATGCAGGATTTTGAGAGAATGCTAACCTCTCTTTTTCAGCCAAAGCCTGGGAGATATGGCAGTTTCAAAGGCAGGTCGCCTGGTGGAAAACTTGACAATGGTATGATGGAGCTTCGTCGTACTGCTTCTGCTGTTATGTGATTCTCCCATTGTTCTTCTATTTCACCAATGTCTACACTCTGTGCTGAGATGGTTATTAATTTATAATGTATATATTGATTCCTGGGGATGCTGCAACTATTTATTATCATCTCTCGTTTCTTGCATTTGGAGAACTTGCTCTAAACATGGCCAACCTATTGCCCAGTGTTTCTCCATGAGATGAAATTTTGTAACTTGCCCGAGGATAATGAGAACCAAATGTACTCTTCACTGCCTGGATCTCTCTACAAAGCATGGGATTTGAAGAGTGCCAGACATTCCCATGAATGAGTATATGGGCCTATTGGATCGGGTTCGTAGATAATACCATTGAGATATACATTTTTCATTTTCCATTCATAATTGATTCAGTTACTAGCTAGGCAACAGTTCATATCTTGTAATTTGCTAGATTTCATGTAAAATTCTTTGATATAAAGTGTGCATCTAGAGGTCTAGCAGTAATTTAATTATCTACTCATCAATTCTATAAAATAGTCATAAGGTCTGATGCCTTAATGAAATGCTTGTTATTTGTGCTACTGGGGGGTTGTTTTTGTTGATTAACTGCAGCCATGAGTATGAGATTAGCACAACACTGTTGACAATAAAGCGTTGGCTTATTTCTGTTGTTGTATCTGTCCTTTAATGCAAGACAACTGTTCATCATCAGTCTGTTCTTTCCAACAGTTTCATTAATGCTTGGGTGGTTGTGATCCAATTTGTTCCGTACAAGCACAAACTTGCAGCTTGGCCTTTGAATAGTAGGAGCAGAAAGTAGGCTTCATTTGGTTCAAGATTGGGAATATTAAAAGTAGTATTCTCAAAAAAGTTAAACAGTAAAATACCCAAAAACTCTCATTTTTGGGAATACTATTTTTAATATTATTCAATTTTTTTTAACCCTCTAAATTTGTTAATTTAATTAAATACCCATAAATATTTTTTTTAAAATTACAAAAACACTCCAACAATCCACATTTACCAGATTCCGGCCACCACCACCGGAAAATGGCCGGAATCTGGTAGGATGGCGCACTACCGGCTGAATCTGGCCGGTAGTGCGCCGATTTAGCCTTTTCCGGCCAGATCCACGGTGGATCTGGCCGAAAAAGGCCAGATCTAAGGCCAAAGATCTGGCCGTTGACGACCAGATCTTTGGCCGTGACAGTAGGTGCCGTCGTTGAGAGCAAATACGGCCAGATCTGGCGGTTGACGGCCAGATCTGGCCTTTGCCGGCCAGATACACCATGGATCTGGCCGGAAAAGGCCATATCGGCGCATGACCGGCAAGATCCAGTCGATCATACGCCCATAAGGCAACTCCGGCCACCTCCGGTGGTGGTGGCCGACTGGGGGTGTTTGAGGGTGGGTTAGGGGTATTTTTGTTAACTTTTAATGTTTTATTATAGGGGGTATTTTGTAAAAAAACAAACATATGGGGTATTTTATTGATTTATAAATCCTACATCGTAATACCCGCCCAATTCAACTTTTTTTAACTTTTTTCAAAAAACTTTTCCCAAAACCCCCAAATTTTGAACCAAACGGAGCCGTAATTATCTCGTTTTGTTCTCTTTTTTAACTTGTAGTAGGAAATTGGAACTTTGCTCTCTGCAGAATTGGAATTCTATTGTACTGAAGTTTTTGCCTTGTAAAATTGTATTTGTTTTATGGTTTCAAAGGATATTGGTAGAAAGCCGGACTGTTGTTCAGCTTGTGCTAGTGCTTGCCTTGTTGGAAATAGTGAAGTTTTGATAGCAAATTATGGGGAGCGATATGCTTATAATATCCTTTCCTTCTTCATATATCAAATCTCCTTAACATAAAGATTTAAATTCTTTTAGAAAATGGTTGAAACATTAAGAGTTTTCATTTAATTCTTAGAAACTTGTGGTACAAGTATTGGTATAATTCAAGTCAAGGTGAACACGTTTGTTGAGACATGGCTTTGCCAATGACCCACTAGAAGATATATTTTTTTATTAAAAGTGGACTGTAGGATGTGTGGCCTGTTTTAAACTTGGATCAGACTGGTCAGTCAAACTAGGACCGATAGTTTCTCCAATCCGATTTAGGTTTTATGGGGTTTTATAATATTTTAAATTTATAGTGACTAATTTGTAATTTTTAGGGGTATTTTGGAGATATGTCAAAAGTTTAGAGATGAATTGTAATTTTTTTTGGGTATTTTGAAATAAAAAAAAATTTTAAGGACTATTTAAAATTTTTGGGGGTATTTTAGTGATATATTAAAATTTAAGGGATTAATTAAAAACAAGGTCAAAGTAGACCAACAAGGTCTTCAATGTACCCCAATTGCGGAAAAACATTGAAACTCCCTCCTTTATCGAAAGTAATAATCAATTATACATTGGTGGGCTGAGTGATATGTACATTTGTTCATAGCATCGTATCAACTTCAAGTTGTCAACCTACAAAATGATTAATACATAAGTTAGACAAATACTTTCAAGATAATTTCATAATCCCAAAATCATGTGACAAATAGTCCAATAGAAGGTTATTGGTAATTGTAAATCACCCTAATACATTACAAATTGAATAGCTGCATACAAATGTGGCCTATGGGTGGACTTTAGTTAAGGCTTCAGCTTTCTGTATATCCTTGATTCCATTGGTTGTATTTAACAATATGGACTTAAATTGTCTTGGTTGCTATCTAGTTGTCTTATCCTACAATCCTTGTTTGAATCACCGTCTTCTCAATTTTTAATGTGCAATCTTCTGATTCACTTTGTAATGAATCGATAGGAGGACATAATGATATGCATGAGTTTCCTAGAAACATTAATCCATAAGTAATTTCATTGATTAAGCATTTAATAAGAATTAAGAGAGCATCTTGATGAATAGATGTGATTATGAAAAAGTATCAAAAAAAAAAAAAATTAAAGATTAGTTAACAAGTTAAAGATGATACAAGAGATGGAAAATGAACGGTTAGTGCCGAATTAAAGATGCTCTACTTTGGGTTAATCTTAATTCATCCTAGATAACTTCTGTAATTAACTCCTTCCTAAATATAAAAACAAGTAACAACTTAGTCATTTTCAGTGTAAAATATAATTTATAGCATATTCATGTTTGATGGCATATCTCAGAAGACACCTTCATATAAATGATTAAGATAGAATCAACTATTAATATTTTTTACTTGGTTTTTGCAAGACAACATTACAAATTCATTAAAATGCTGCCGTTATATGGGTATGTAGGCAGTGTTAATGTACATAGCAAAAATACTAAGGAAAAATGAAAGAAAAAAATAATAAAAAACACAAACAGAGGGTTAACAAGCTTACGTATGTGTGTCAAATTTGAGATGCTGATGACGAAATCGGAGAGATGTTAGCCGACTGAGCTCAGTTGTATCTGGATCTAAAACAAAAATGATTGCAAGAAGGTTTCTTGATGGAAGGAGAGAGAGCACACAAGAGAGAACTAAGGTGGCCTTCACGGGAGTGACGAAGTTGTGAGGAAGAGCCCACAATCGGTGCAGATTGCTTTGTTGCCAGAAGAAGGAAGAGAGAGATCACAACAAAAAAAGTTTTTCTACGAGTCTGAAACTTTAAGTGAAGAAGGGAAAATGGTGTCTAAAGTGTAAGAGAAAAAGTACAAGAAGCCTTTTGAGTGAAAAAGAGAAGAAAATGGATGTTTTATGCTTGCTTGACGAATGGAGAGAGAGGAAGGGATTCACGACCACGGGTGTACTCTGGTGAAGGGTATGTGAAGAGTAAATAAGGATAAGAAAATGAAATAAATGTTAGTAGGAGTAGGAAAAGGTAGTAAAAAAAAGCTAATGAAAAAAACTACACACTAATGGTTAAAAAGTAAAATGATTAGTATTTTGAATTGTTTTAAATTAGATATGCGAACCAAAGGCATATTTTACAGTTTAACATTATCGGGAAAAGTAAATTTTATTTTCAAGAGTGAACCACACGGGGCCTACATCTTTTGGTGGACCAACAATCGCTTAAATTATTAATAACATGCAATTTTTTAAGTTTTCCAATTTTTTATCTTATCATATCTAATCTAATCTGGTTGTATTATATTAAAAATAGCAAATTAATAAATGAACTCCGACGCCTAGCCAATCACTTGAAAACACAATTGGTCAAGCAATTCCACTAAGTGAGAACCTGGAGATTGCAACTGACTAATGTATCGTCAACAAACGATGTCGTACTTTCTTTCCCACCTAAACTCCCCGCCGCATGTCCGACTCTCTCCATCTATGATCCCCCATCTGTTTTGAAAGAACCAATACCATTGGCTATACTCTATCACTCGCCTGTCTCAGCGCGTGAATGAACCAGACGAGACATTCTTTATTTTGTCTGTATTTATTGGGCCAAACGACTTGTACATACCCAAGATTTGTTATAACGACAAAGTGATACCCAAAAAGTTTTAAAACGATAAATATGTACCTTTCGTCATGTGCTGTTAGTGATTTTCGTTTGATAATAGTGAAAAGACTAAAATGACATTGAAAGTTTGATATTTTAGTTTTTAATAAATTTAAAATTTTCTAAAAAACCCCCTAAGTTTACTAATTTAACTAAATTCCCGAATATATAAAAATTTTATAAAATGAAAAAAATACTCCCATCACCCGCAGTGCCAGATTCCGGCCAGTGGCCGAAAAATTACATTACAACACAGACCCGGCCAGATCCATGGCGGATCTGGTCGGAAAAGGCCAGATCTACGGCCAGATCTAGACGTAGATCTGGCCTTTTTCAGCTAGATCAACGCGGGTCTGTGTCATAACGTAATTTTTCGGTCAGATTCCGACGGTGGTGGCCAGAATCTGGCACTACGGGTGGTGGGGCTGTTTTTGTTAGTTTACAAAATTTTTATATGTTGGGGTGTTTAGTTAAATTAGCAAACTGAAGGGGTTTTTTAGAAATTTTTGAATTTACAAAAATCTAAAATATCAAACTTTCAAGGGCATTCTAGTCTTTTAACGATTATCAAACAGAAATCACTAACAGCACATGACAGAAGGTACCTATTTGTCGTTTTAAAACCTTTTTGGTACCACTGTTGGTATGATAAACCTTGGGTATGTGTAAACCTTGGGCAGGACGGGACGGAATGGGGCAAATTCAGGGTCAGGCCTGGCCAAGTATGAGGCTACCTCCGTCTCGACCTGTCCCTAAATTCAGGGATTTCTTCTAGGCCTTAGCCCTGCCCAATCCCCAATCAATTTGGGGAATCTCCGCCCCTTTCGGGCTAAGACAAGGCAGGGAACATGCCCATCCCTACCGCTTTATTAATAAAAAAAAAATCTTTCTATAATAAACGAATAATAAAACAAGTATATTTCATTCGTGCTATTGTGGCATTCTTTCATTGACTTTTTATATTATAACATGTTGTATAGAAAGACTTTTTGTATTCTCGTTTAAATCTTCCTCTTGGCTCTTGCTCACTACACTTTTCTTTAATTATCTACTAGTTTAAACCCAAATCAACTTTAATATGTTCCCAGCATTTATGAATAACCCTACTTTAACAAAAAGTGGTTAAAAAAGTGATAAAATTTCATCCATTTAATTAATATATAGAGTTTTTTTTTTTTTCTATTAAATTAAACTAGGTTGAACAACATGTAATAATTTATTATTATTATTTATATTTTGTCTTCCTTTCTTAACCACAATACTAATAATAATACAATATGCAAAAATAAAATAGCATGGTTAATGTAACTAGCTCTGCATGTGTGTTTTTTCAATTAATTTTGGTATAAAACAATTATCATCACTTGTTGACATGGAATGAAGATACGCACAAAATGGTATCTAGTAATTGTTAATTGTTAATTGTATTTGGATTTAAGCCTATTGTATAGTCTAGGCCACTATAAAGTTAGATGATGGTTTTGTCTCACGTCATCAAATTAGTAGGATCTTCATTATATTGAACAGTATATAGGTATATTGTTTTACTTCAGAAAGTTAGTGGGATCATCATTTCTATTTAACAGTATAATGTGTACTATTTCAGTCATAATAAAATTGACTGTTTTTATCAAAATAATGTAACTATCCTTGTTTTAGTCCTTATCTAGTTTAGGTGATATTGCTTTGGTGTAAATGACACATCTGTTCTTCCTAAAGTAGTGGGAAAGTTTCATTAAAAAAAAATAAAAAATTCCGTTTCTTCTGTATTTTTTTTCCTGCTGCATCTAGTGATCTCCATTAATACCATAGCTCTTCTGAGTTTTTTTTTTTTTTTTTTTTTGTTTTACAACGTTATGAGAGAAATGATGGATTTAGTGTTTGACAATGCGTGCATGATCCTGGAGGTGGAATTTGGAAGAACACCTTTAAGGAAGATGCTAGATTGGCCATGTTTGATTTTGGTGGTGGCGGTGGTGTCGCTAGCAAGGGATAGTTGACGGTGGTGCATGCAGTGATTATAAGTGTGTTGGCATCAAATTTCTAGGTCTTGTTTTCTGGGCTTGTCTCTGATCTGGGTAATGATATGATCTGGGACTAAGATTTATTTATTTATTTATTTATTTATTTATTTTTCTTAGTGCAAAGCGAACGTTGAACAATGCTCTTATACCAATTGGCATTGTACCAGAAAAAGCTAAGAGAGATTATAGAAATAAATATTCGATCAATTTTCTTACGAAAACTTAAGATTCATATTTTTCGGGTTATAATTTAAATCTTGATAAAACAATGAAATAAAAAGTCTTAAACAACATGTTACTGTTGTTACTTTTTATTTTATCTTTTTTTTACAAAACATTAAACCAAACCGTTTTGGCAAACAAATTAATGTACAAAAGAACGAAATCCATACGAAAAATGTTTATCTTATTAGATTCCAGCTGAACAAGTAACTGTCCAAATCCATATATTGAAAATTAAAAAAGAAAAAACAATAAAAAAAGAAGTAGGCTAATTTTTATAGAGATATTGAATGTGAAGCCACCTATATCAAGCCTTGAAAGATAAATAAATAAAATAAAATAAAAATATTAATGACTCCTTAGTCGCTTGAGGGATCAATTTATAATTTCTCTGGTTTCCCTCACAAAGAACGGTGTCGTTTTTGTATACTCAGTAGCTCTTATCTTTGCTTGCTTACTTAGCTTACTCAGTCTCTCCAGTTTTGTATATAAAGCCCCAAATGTATAATCTCACTCTCTTAAGTTCAATAATACAGATTCTCTCCAAAGTATTCTTCAATTTTAGTTTTTTCTTTCAATTCCTTCACAATTCTTACTAAAAACCATGGAAGTGTGAAAATTAAAAAGCTGGAATTAATATTCTTGGGTCACTATGTTTAGGGCATCTCTAATCCAGCGCCAAAATACCAAAATGGTGTGAAAAAAATGCTCTAACCCAACATCAAACACTAATTTGGAGTGACACTGTTTACCTGCACTAAAATGGTGTGATACTGTTCAAACACTGTTCAAATACTATAAAAAATATATTTTTTTATTTTATTTATATTTATGTTAATTTGATTATTATTTATATTAATATTTATAATAATAAATTCATAATAATTATATAATTCAAAAAATGATGAAAAATTAAAAACAAAACTTTATTCAATGCAAATATTAAACTATAATAACTCGAAAAATTAAATTACTATCAATATGGAATTTTACTTTTGTGTTGTTGTTGTCTTTTTTTTTTTTTTTTTTTTTTGGTATCATTTTATATTAGATGTAATATTTTTCTATATTAAATGTAATGTTTATTTGATTAAATAAATGCTTAATTTTATTAAATTAGTATAATTTTCAAAGTAATTGTTATTTAATAAAAATATCATTCCCAATATTTAATTAATATATACAAAAATAATGAGTAAAATAGATTAATTGTTAATTATTACATAGAAATAAAAAGAAAAAGAATATTCTAAGGAATAAAGAATATTCTTTTCCGTGTAATATTTGGTGCAATGAATTGGGGATGCAATAGTAAAATACACAAAAAGTCACGTCAATTTGGTATGAAACTTGCACCAATTTGGTGTTTGTGGTTGGAGATGGTCTTACATCTAGTTATCAGAAAGTTATTTACCTTTAGACTGACCTAATTTTCAAAATACACTTGTAATTTGAGGTAAAGATTAGCCTAATTTGAGCCTTTTTTTTTTTTATTTCTTCAAGAACATTAGTGAAAAGGTATTCCTGCTCTTTTAGAGTTGAGACCCTAATTCTTCAATTATTACAGGAACAACAATATCAGTGCAAAATCAAAGTAAAACAACTTAAATTCAGGGAGAATCTTGAAGAAGCACCATTGAGGAATTTCTTGAGGGCACGATATTCAACGTGTGAACTGAGGAAGAGGATAGTCGGGTGATTTACCTTCACTTGGTAATCTCCATGGAAAAGGGAGGCCTCAAAGAAGCCGTTATTATCTGCTGTAGCCTGAAGTTTTCTCTTCCCCATTCATTCAATAGTTTGTCCACAACTTTTCCCAGTTGGCAAATTGTTAAAACTATTATCTGTTAAACACATCCGATTGCATCCTTGAGGTGACCATGCAGCCCAAATGACTATTCCACCGATTTTAGGCTTACTATTCCCTTCCCTTAATACTTGTTCTAGATACAATGCCTGTCCACATAAGTCATCCAAGAAATAAAATCATGTCAGTATAATTTCTAATAAAAATTTTGTTTTTCTACCTTTTCTTTTTGCTTGTGTCTGGGTTTTAAGGACGATGGTACGTGTTACGTTGCTTAATGCAATTATGAAGTGTTGAGTTTTTACCTGGTTAGGACCTTTTTCAACGTCTACTTCTGTGAGCCAAATTGGAACACCTGATGCAGCAAGCTTATCAATAGAAGCTCTCATGTAAGGGATGTTTGGCACCTGAAAATGAGACTCCCGTCCAATAGCCACACGTGCACCTTTACCAAGAGAACTTTGGATCTCTCTTAGCTTTTTAAGGTAATTAGCAGAAGATGATACCCGATCCCATCTCCTCTATTGTATTATAATCATTCATAAACATTAAAGTTGATGGATCATATTGATTAGCATACTTGAAAGCCATTTTGGATGCATCTGCTCCCATCTTGTTTTCAAAGAAAGAAAAATGCAAGTTTTCGTTAATAACGTCCCAAGCAATAAGTTGGCTTTTACATCTTGTAACTACGGATTTTGCCCTTTTCTCAGCAGCTAAACGAAGTGCTGATGGTGAGAGTGAACTGAGCCAACCGGGTTGATATTTGGGATCATCCCAGAAGATGTTGTGACCAAGAACTGCAATACGGTTTTGTTTCATGAATTGAAGCATGGCGTTAGCTACTGAATAGTCCTCCTTTCCTTGGGATGGTTCAGTGCTATACCACTTCAATTCATTTTCAAATGTTGTTAAACCGAATCTTGAAGTGAACCAGTCTTGATACCTCTTGTTATTAAGGGTGTTCTTATTTGTAGCACATCCAGTTGGCATTGTTGATGAGACCTTTTGCTCAATGGAAAGCTCTGCATTATTCAAGGGCCTGCCTCGCACGTGAATCAACTGCTTGAAGCGTTACTCTTCTCTTATGTTTCTGCCAAATGTAAAATTATAGAGGATGTAATTAAAGCTGAAAATTTGTTATTAACCTTGAAGATCTATAGAAAGATATACTGAAGGTGAAAGTACATATCACAATTTTATTCCATTTGAGTTGTATATGGTAAGCAGTGGCGGAGCTATTGCATGCCTAGGGTGGGCCAACGCTCGGCCTGGGTTTTTAAAAGAAATTTGTTTTTTCTACTTAGGCCCATAATGTTTTATATAATTACAAGTACCCCCTAAAATAAGTAAACACAACAACATGTTTAATAAAATTTTACCCAATCCAATAATTAAGTATAAATATTTTTAAAAAAATAATAATAATAATTAGGTCTAAATACAAACTAAATAAAATTTTAGATTAAAATAAGGCCTATAATATACAAATTAATTACTCAATCCAATAGTTAAGCTAAAAAACAAAATCAATAATATTATGAATCATAAATAAATAAATAATACTTGTACAAACTTATTAAATTAAGTTTTGATATAGGAAAAATTATTTATTACCTTATGAATCACATTCTACTTAGTTTCTTTAGTTTAATTTATGTTGAAAATAAGGATTTTATGAGTTCTCTTATGTTGAATGAATTCTTTTATTTGCATAATTTATCATATACAGTAAAACCTCTCTATAATCATAATGGTAGAAATAATTAATTTTATTACTATGAGGAGGTTATAACTTAATAGAGGTGTAGTTACAAAAATTTCTTATTTCATAATTCATGTTTTAGTAGTATAATATTAGGATTTCAATTGATGTTTTAATAGTATTAGGGTTTCAATTTAGCGCTTCAATTGCCTACTTTTGAAACTGATAGAAGATCGTGTCTTAAAACCAACAAAGATAAGTGTCCTTAATAGAATTGTAAATACAGTTATTGGATAGTTAATTGATATGAAGCCATAGACAATTGCTAATTGTTTTAAGCATTACAAAATTAGGAATCCCGGTGTCGATGAATTGCAAGTTATAAATGAAGTGGATAAAGAGAATCAAAAAGTCATTGTAGAATTGAGTGATCAGAATTGGCAACGATACTACACTAATTGAATAGATATTAATGTCTTCCTCAATCATCCAAATGAGCAACAAGTCATGTATGCTTTAACTGAGAAGACTACAATTAGACAAAAAGAAAATGAAAATAATCATGAGGATGATAGAACGGAAATACAAAAAGGTTTGTGTCAAGAAGCTCTAAACTTACTTGAAAAGCTAGAAATATATTAGAGTAATGTACCCGCAAGTTAAAAGATGTAGTAACAACTCTAAAACATAAATCATTGTCCTAAATAACTTTAGATAAATATTTTATTTCATCTTAAACCCTTAATGCAACACAGCATGTATTTTTTTATAATATACAGATAATTATTACTATATGGAGGCAATTTTCCTTAAAACGAGAATTAGAATAATTATAACTTATTACAATGTGGAGTTTATTCTTATTTATAATTATCCCGAATTGGGAATATAATTTTTTGTAACTATGTAGAGTTTATTCTTATATAAAGTATCACTATAGAGATGTTTTACTGTATTAGGTAAATTATAATTGTACAGAACAAAAAATATTATCAATAAATGTTTAAATTTTAATATTTATGATTACGAACAAAATTTAAAGTACCTTTTTTTTTTTTCTAGAATCTTTGGCTCCGCCACTGGTGGTAAGAGCATCATATATATTTGAATGGACCAAAATGTTATACCACATTACCTTCTCAATGCTTTGATCTTGATGGGAAATCCACTCTTCTTGGGTGAATGGTTGTAATGAGACACTATCCACCCATATTTCGACTGATGTGTTATTGCTATGATGAAGTTAATGATGAAGGTTAACGGCATTGGAACAAACTAAAGATATATTAATTGGAAAAACGAAGTTTACATGATAAATATTTCATTGATCTTAAATTAAGAAAGCACCTCAAAATAGAGCTCAGCGGGACCTGATTCATCCGCTGTGAAGCCGCCTTTAAGCATGAACCAACATTTGGACTTAGCAAAATCAGCACCGGCAAACTTGTAACCACTACTTGTTTTGATAAATTTGGAACCAAGATGCATTATCATTAACACAAGGAGTTAAAATATATTATTTTACTAGGGATTATAGTTTAGTAATTAATAATTAACGTTTGTTCATGCACGAGTAATAGAACATAAATAATACCTGAAAAGATGTAGTGCATGTGTAAAGCTTTTGAGAGATACCATCATGTGGTCGATTTCTGCTATAAGCCACTATGAAATTGTTTCCTCCTAATTGTATATATTCATTTTCGCATTTCCAAATATAGACCACCCTTCCAATCCAAGATTCAAATTGGGGTTTCTTATGATCACTCCATCATACTGAGGTTTATAGGAATTTTCCAGACACTGAAGTTGGTTGGAAAAAGTAGAAAAAATAAAATAAAAAATAAGCTACTAAGTAAAAAGAATGATAAGTAATAATTCTTATTTTCCTATTTAAATATTTCAAATCAATTTTTATTCTAAAAGGTTTCTTTAAATATAGACATAACATGTACAATTTGAAATGCTATATATATAACTCAAGAATGATAAGTAAAGTTATCTGCCCAAAAAGAAAAAAAAACTATTCCCAACATTCATCTTTGAGGTAGACCCAAAATTTAAAAATTAAATTTTGATTTCATGTAAAATTTTTCATTATCAAAACAGACAATGAATATAGATAGATGCTTAACTTAATGAAGAGAAAATACAACAAAAACCAAAACTTTTTATGGAAAGTTTCTAATTAAAAAAGAATCATTCAATGAATTTCGATAATGTATATATTTAATGAATGAGTGTACAAAATATGTATTTTATATACAAATAGTTTTACACTTTATAAAAATTATGAACAATTAAATTTGTTGGGGATTGGTTAAACCATTTTGGTTTTGGATTACCCATTTTAAAGTGCAGCATAATATTTACCAAGTAGATTAAGACATTTTCAAGTTTTAGCCATATCAAACACACGTGCAGAAAGTAAAGAACACAACCATATACATAGTTTGGCTAAATTCGCTTTTAGCCTACATCCATGGGACCTTGTCCAGATCGAAGCAATCCACTAAGTTAAAAACACATTACAATATATAGTTTAAAGCTGATATAAGTTACAGTAAAAAGAACTCCCTGTTCAACTTTACACTTAGCTTCACACTCTGAATCCTTAACGTGTAGCAACTCCTTGGAGCTTCCTTTCGTCGGGAACACACCGAAAAATAGCTTGTAAACCACCAAGCTTCAAGCACCAATGCCACGCACCAGCATCAGCAGAGGAACCACGTTCCAAAAGCCATCAAGTCTATCTTTGATATTGTGAAGTTTTGCCACAAAATGGAAAATGAACCTTGAACCTTAAGAGAAAGAATACTTAAGAAATTTAGAGTAAAATGAAATAAGAGATCAAAAGGATAGATTCATTCACGCAAGAAAGAGTATTACATAATGAAGGATTTCTTGCTTAACAATACAATGTCACGTCAGCCAACAAGGAGCTGACCCATATTTTTCCAAATAAGGAAAGTATTCCTTCTTTTGGTTTGGACCACAGTTGAAGATAGGATTTGAGAGAGATAAAGAAACAAGAAAAGAGAAGAACACTAAGCTTTATCTGTATTGATTAAAATTGTTACAGAAATTAGTTACAAGTTATGTTATAGGCAATGTCTAGTCTGGACAGTACAAGGTATTGTAAGGGTCCAATGGTACTCCTATAAAGTGCAGGATTTTCAAATAATTCACTGTCATTTGGGGTCAATTTAGTGCCTGCTGCCATTGGTGTAGAACATGGTTTACAATCAACCATTTTGGTTTTGATTAGAATGTCCTTTGTATACTTTTCTTGATTCATGTATAGGCTAAATGCATTTCGTGTGACTTCAAAGCCTAAAAAATACTTTAAAGATACAAGAATCTTCAAGGAAAATTGAGTGTTGAGCTTCTGTGCAGTTTCTTGAATCAACTGAGGAGTATTCCTTGTCAAGAGTATATCATCCACATAGACTAAAACATAAATGATTTACTCTTGATGCTGATAAATAAACAAACTTGGATAAGCCACTGAATGTACAAAGCCCTAATCAAGAAAATGTTGTTTTAAGCTTGTCAAACCAAGCTTTTGGGACCTGCTTTAACCCATAGAGTGCCTTTTTTAATCTGCATACATGATGAGGACTGGCAAAATCCACAAACCCTTCTGGTTGTACCATAAACACATTTCAGCTAATTCAGCATTCAAAAATGCATTGTTAATATCAACCTGTTGTATGTCCCATTGATGACTCGTGGCTAGACTAAGAATAACTCTAATAGTTAGTGATTTCATAACTGGACTGAAGCTTTCCAGGAAGTCAATTCCAGGGGTTTGCTAAAACCCTTTTGCAACTAATCTTGCTTTAAACCTTTGGATAGAACCATCAGCATTATGTTTAAATTTAAACACCCATTTACAGCCAACTGGATGCATGTCTAGAGTAAGTGGAACTAGTTCCCAAGTTTGATTAGCTAAGAGTGCATTAAACTCTGATTGCATAGCAGTTGTCCAAGAGGGGTGAGAAAGAGCTTCTAAAATAGTGTTTGGTTCTTTGGTATCAAGGTGAGATGTAGAAATGAGGGCAGTATTGTGAGCTTTGGCTTTGGACCTAGTTATCATTTGATGAGTGTTTTGGATAGAAGTGTTGGATTTAGGAAAGGATAAATCAACAATCAAGTGTCAAAAGATGCATCAGAAGCAATGGTTATAGGAGAAGTAATAGACATAGGAGTGTCATATACTGGAGTTAAATCATGCTTGTTGAATACTTGATTAGGTGCAGTAGGACAAGTGGAAAAGGATGGTGACTTTTCGGCTAGTGGAGTGTAGACAGGTTGTTCAGATATTGGTTCTGAAGTATGAGTTGGCTGAGAATGACTCATGGAGTTATCAAAAGATATAAGAGATATAGAAGAGGACAGGTTATGTGAGGAATAAGTTGGCACAGAGTTAGGAACATGCTAGGTTGAATGAGAAACAGGAACATATGGAGACTCTATAGAAATAGATTCTGTACAAGAGGTTGAAGAATTGGAAACTTTGTGAGATTGGAAAGGAAAGTCTATCTTATCAAATTTGACACTTTGACAGATATAAATTCGACCATTAGGAGCAAGACATTTGTATCTTTTGTATTGCAAACTGAGACCAATAAAAGTGCATTTAGTGGTATGAAAATCAAATTTATGATGGTTATAAGGTCTAAGAAATGGGTAAATGGCACAACCAAAGACCTTTATGATAGAGTAGTTTGGTGGATAGTGAAATAATTTTTGAAAAGGAGAGAGACTGGAAAGCACAGGAGAGGGAAGTCTGTTTGTTAAATACACTGCAGTTTGAAAGGCATGCCACCAGAATTTGAGAGGCATGTGAGCTTGAGCTAACAAGGTTAGACCTTGCTCAACAATTTGTCTATGTTTCCTCTCCACTCTACCATTTTGTTGGTGAGTGTGTGGACATGGATGCCTAAAGGAAATTCCATGTTGAGCAAAGTAGGGAACAAAGCTTCTAAATTCTCCTCCCCAATCAATTTGAACACATTTCAAGGTTGAACTAACCTGTCTTTCTACTAACTTGTGAAAATAGAGTAAGTTTTAGACTTATTTTTCAAGGGGAAGATCCAGGTAAATTGATTGTGATCATCCAAGAACTGGATGTAATATCTAAAGCCCTCAGGTGAAGAGACAGGTGATGGTCCCCAAAGATGTAAGTAAATCAGATCAACAGGTTTAGCTTACTGAGAAGAAGGCCTAGGATATATTGATTGGTGTAATTTACCAAACTGGCATGCTTGATAAAAGGTGTAATCAGCTTTGGATGAGTGAGGTATTTTGAGTTCAGTTAGGATCTTGGTTAAAATATAACTATTTGGATGTCCTAATCTTTTATGCCACAGCATAACATCAGTTCTTTGAGCAGGAAATGATTGAATATCATGCATTTTATTTATATCAGATGCAACACAACAGGAAGATACATTTTCCGAGTTATAGTCTGTAACAGAAATTATAGAGTTATAGTCTATAACAGAAGACTTATTATGACAATTCAAACATGGTTGGCCAACAGACAAGGCACAACCTGATAGACACTTAGAGATACTAGTAGATGATAAAGGCAAAATACAAGTGCTGAAAGATGAGGCTAGATTATTGTCATAAGGTTCAAGATTAACTAAAGCTGCCAAGGCTCCAGTAGGAAGAAAAGAAGCAGAGATTGGAATCTGAAGTCGGTATAGGCCATCCTTAAGCATTCCTTGAAGAATAATTGCTTTGGAATACTTGTCCTTAACCACACGTAACCAGAGTAAAATTCAACAAACACTTCATTATCTCTAGTAAGTTTGGATATGCTAAGCAGGTTCTTTGTAATTTTAGGAACATAAAGAACATTCCTAAGATGCAAATTTCTACCAGGACGGATAACATAGAGGAACCAATATGAGAGATTGAAAGTAACTCACCATTTCCCACTTGGAGCTGCTCACTTCCAGTGTATCTAGTGCTTACTGTTAATTGTACAAAATCAGAGGTTACATGGTCTGTTGCTCTAATGTATTGTTACCAGTAAAATGGACATGAAATCTATGATAGCATTTCAAAGCTAGGTGTCCTGTCTTCCTATATACTTGGCAAACAAATTTGTTCCTACCACCTACTCTGCCTCGGCCTCTTCCTCCAGTAAAACTTCCAAGTTGATAAGGATAAAACTAATTAGGAGGCGTTAGCTACATAGGGTAATTTTGATTTGCAGTATAGTAGGATGGCACCAGGTTATGTGGCTATTATAAAGGTGTTGGGGTTGTATGTGATGAAGATTGGGATACATTAGTAAGAAATGAACAATTTGCATCCAATTGTGATTTATTTCTGTTACTATCAATACTCAGATTTGCAACATTTTCAGAGATCCCATGAAATTCAGACTATATAGTTGAGTTAAGTACATTATTAGCCTTTTCTAACCTAAGTTCTAGTTTTTGCAGAATTATTTGAGCTTCCTAAACTGAAATAGGATGTAGTCTAGACTCTAATCTAGTAGCAATGTTTACCACAACTACATCATAATCAAAGTCAAGTCCATCTAAGATGTAATTCAACAGTTATTCGTTAGAAATAATAATTCCACTTGAAGACAAACTTTCAGCAAATCCTTTCATTTTAAGAAAGTAATTATGCATATTTAGATAATTTTTCTTTGTATTTTGCAGTAAGCTCTTAACATGTAGTGTCTTAGGTTGTGACTCAATGAGAAATTCTTTCTCTAGAGTAAGCCAAATCTCAGTTGAAAATTGACATTTAGAGATTACCAAAAAAATTGATTCTGAAATGGATGACAACAGCCAACTGACGAGAAGTTTGTATGTCTTCTTCCAGAGGTTGTATTCCGGATTAGGTTTTTTGATAATTTCAAAGCTTGGACAGTCTGGTTGAATTCGAATGAATGGCGCTGGGCGAGGAATCAATCCGGTGAGATGATCCTCAAGCTCATGAGCTCCGACTACAAACAGTATTTGCGATTTCCGAAATCTGTGATTATCTCTAATGAGCTCGGGGGAGATTACAGGGAGCATGGTTGAGGATATTATAGTTGAGTAAGTGAGATTACTGAGGTCAGAATTATGTTTCTGTCTTGAATGAATTGAATCTTTATCGGATTTATGATATGGAGAAGAATTTGATGAAAAATCAGCCATTGTTGACTTTGGTCAAAGGCTCTGATACCAAGTTGCAGATAGGTTTTGAGAGAGATAAAGAAACAAGAAAAAGAGAAGAACACTAAGCTTTATCTATATTGATTAAAATTGTTACAGAAATTAGTTACAAGCTCTGTTATATAGCATGAGCACAATACACGTGAGTCAAGTTGCTCATTAGCAAGGCTAGGCTAAAGTTACTTGCTAGTTACTAAAATCATAGTGGACTATTTGGGAAACTAATCCTAACAACCACAAAACAAATTGGGAAAGATAACTTTATTCCCCAGGACCACTTAAGGAAAATATGACATATGTAAAAAGGTCCTAAATATCAAAAGACAAAGATAAACATAATCTTTTTCTCTTTATCAAACATGCAACTCCTGTCGGGTTGCAAAAAGTCTGAAGTGAGAGTTAAGCACATACCATTGTACACACACACTCGAGACGAAACAAGCCAAGACACATGTCTAGCAAACTGTGTGCACTAAGAATTGATGTGCACACACACAACAAATGGGCAAGCCAAATAAAAGGATTGGCAGTAAGTGTGCACACACACACAATTCATAAGTTTGACAAAAATAAATATTCTACAAAACCAAAGGTGAGCTTACCTCAATAGTAGTCGTGTAATCATAAAAAACACTAGCTTTAAATTTTGCAACCAAAATACGTTAAATGATGCCAAGAAGTTAAAAATCAATCCATGGATATTCATGAGAATAAAATACTAGTTGCATCGAGGTTTGAGGGGTTGGGTTACTGCAATTTAGGTTGCAGGAAAAATAAATTAAGTTACTAAAATAATAAACCCTCTTCAAATAAAAACAAAGCAACAAAATGAATATTAGTGTATGTAAAGTAATAAAATGTTTCAAGTTAATTGTATATCTTAAAACAAAATGGAGTTAGTTCTTGTTGATGTGAAGGATTTCAAGATTCAAGAAAACAAAAAAAAAAAAAAAAAAAAAAAAAAAACAGAGGAATCAAACGAAAATTCTGAGCTGAATTGAATGAATGAATCAGTTATAGAATTGGCGGCAAATTTATATACAGCCATTATATCAAAACAGAATGTTTTGATGTAGTTTTGAATCTTTACAAAAAGCACCCCATGAGTAGTTTCTTTTTATTACAAAAGACACCCCACTCATACTAATATTCTCCCTTAAGCAAAACCATATAGTAGACTAATCTATACTTCTATGTTAATATTCACCCTTAAGTTGAACATTATTAACAATGCTTCTATAACAATATGCACCCTTAAACTGAACACTGATATGTCTCAAACTCTACAGTTCATCCGAGATTCAACTCTGTAGTTTAACCAAGAGAAACACCAACAGATAACAAACAATATCTCCAACTCTGCACTATTTAGTCTCAGTATCTATGCCAATGCTTCTATACCAATATGCACCCTTAAACTAAACATTGATATATCTCCAACCCTACAGTTCATCCGAGATCCAATTCTGCAGTTTAACCAAGAGAAATACCAGCAGATAACAAACAATATCTCCAACTCTGCACTATTCAATCTCAATATCTGCACTATTGTAAGTAGATTATGTTCCTCCCTAATTGAGTAAGTAACAATTATTCTGCATTTCAGAGCTAGGATTACTTTGTAGTTCAGAAGTGACTTGCAACTTACTCTTTAGGAACTCAAATTGACTCCCAGACAAAGCCTTAATTAGGATATCATCAATTTGATAATTTGTACTAACATATTGAACAGCTAATCTCCTTTCAGTAGCCAATTCCCTCACATAATTCACATCAATTTCTATGTGCTTTGTTCGTGCATGGAACACAAGGTTAGATGAGAAGACGCCAGCACTCATATTATCACACCATAGGAAAAGAGTTTTGTTGATGCCAATGCCAAGTTCTTGAAACAAATGCTAAATCCAAACCAGTTCAGTAGCTACTTGACCAAGGGCCTAGTATTCAACTTCTGTGGAGGACAAAGAGACCACCTTCTGCTTTCGAGAACTCCACTGCACTAAGTTTCCTCCAAGAAAGACACTACATGTAAACCCCACGTTATTATTCCGATGCCCTAAGGTATGAAATTTACATTTTCAAGTAATTTTCTTTTTTGAATGGAAGGGTAAAATGGTCAATTTACATGTATTTCGAGATGTGGCCGTTATAAAGTGTAAAGGATGATGTCATTGAAGAGAAATGAGGGTAGAATGGTTATAAAGTTGATTGATAAGGTTAAATGGCATAAACGGTAACCAAGGGTATAATGGTCTTTTCATACAAAACCATATGATTAAGTGTCCATAAAAGTGCACCAAGGGTAAATTAGTCATTCACCTAATGGGATTGCTTAATGGATAAGTGTTTCAAAGAAGTCAAATGGCATTAAATGAGTACTTATCTTTATGTTGTGGTGAAATGACCAAAAGCCCTTATATGAAAAATTATGCCAAATGACTTTTATCAACTTTTATTGACCAATCAATTAGAGGATCAATGGAATGAATATTACAAGGTTTAAAAAGAGAGTAGTCGGCCTTGGAGACCCCAAATATATCATCTTCTTCTTCATCTCTCAAATCCACCATAAAAGCCACTAATCCAAGTTTATTCTCAAATTTTCTTAGGATTTCAAGTTGATTTTCAAAGGAGACCACCATCACCCTTAAAGAACTTCAATTTCAAGGTTAAAGGTGAGTTTCAAAACCTAATTTTTCTGAATTTTTGGTTAAAAGAGAAATTCATAAGTGGTTGTGTGTGTAAGGTAAAAGGTGAAACTTTGGAGCCAAGGAGGAGTACCTTTGTGCTTTGAATACTAAGGTAAGGAAAAAATCTCCCTTATGACTACAATTGATAACACTAGGGTTTATGAAACTTACATTTATTTATGTTAATATGAGTGTGATGCTATGTTTTGGTTATGAGTTGTTTTAATGGGTGTGTTGATTGGTGTATGTGTGCATAGGAGGATGATTATGCCAATTAAGAGATTTGTAGTTGGACGATGTTTTGGCACTTTTTACTTCGTAAAAGGGAGGTTTTTATGGCCTTTTTACTAAGAATGAATGGCAAATGATATGAATGTGCAAATGAAGGTGACATGGTTAAAATGAATAGAATTCGAATTTGGCTGTATTAGACTTATACTGTACATGCTTCACTGAATCAGTCATAACGAAGTTATGAAGTCTGATTGAGTTGATTCTTGAAGTGTTAAAAAATTGAGAAAACGACCTAAAACGTTTATGTTTAGCCAAAAATAAATTCGAATTAGAAGATAATGGAAAAAATGCTTGAAAGTAAACGAGTATGGCATCCACCTCTTTAATGGAAATTCCCATTTGTTTCTAATTCTAGTAAACCGAATAATCTTACTACTGAAATTCTTGTATTGTATGAGAAATTGAAGAATAAGTTAAGAAGTTTAGCAGGAGAATATAGTATGATTGAGCATGGGAGATGTTAGTCCATATGTTTGCATCATAAGGTAATGCTATAGCTATTTAGTTGTCTTATGAAAAAAATTATGAAATGTTAATAATGAATTCCATGATCTCTTAAGGTATAAACCAAGATCAGAGGAAGGAATTCTTATGGAAACCATGAGTCCTTTGAGGTGCGACCAAGAACAAGGTAATTGTTCAAATGAACGATCGGATAACAAAGACTAAGAAATTGTCAAGTATATAGACAAAACAAATAAGCATGCCATGTACATGAATATTTCATAAGTCATTTATGTTCTATGTTATATTAGTATGGTTATGTTTTGACTATGTTTATGAGAAAAGTCCCAAAATGTATGATAGTTTTATGAACTTGTTATGTCAAAGAATGAAGGATCGTTTTGTAGGTAGGTAAAGTCCTAAGATTTACTTGTATAATGAACCTTAATAGTTATAAATGGCCATATTCCTTACTGAGCGATTAGCGCTCACCCCACGAAATGTTTAAAATGTTTTGCAGGTACGGATAAGGCATGAAGTGGGAGAGGATTCCAAGGGACGCTATGAGCATGAGGGGATGCTTTAATGATGACTATGAATGGTTTTGCTTATTATACTGTAATAATTATGTTCATATCATAATGTAGTAATTATGTCCATGTTCTATAATGGAGTAAATATGTTATATTAATAAAAGAAATCAAATTGCTAGTAAATTTTGTAAAAGATGTATGTTCTCGTAAGTACTACTATGGATTTCATAATATACTCCAAGAAAGGAAACTATATTTTTACTTGTACAAGAACTTAATATAGTTTAGATATAAAATGTTTTAAATTAAAAATAGATATATTTTAAACTACAAGTTTATTCTTAAATAGGATTTTAAAAAAACTTCTTTCCTAGGCGTGCGTTTTCTAGGTTCTCAATGGCAAGGGATACTTAGGAAATACCCGGCTAGGAGGGGTTCTACACTACATCCATGGTAGAACGTTGTCACTAACATTACTTGCCCAATCGGCATCTAAATAACCTTCGAGTATGAGGTCTGTATTTTTCTTGAATAAAAGTCATGCTACAGTGTGCCTTTAATGTACCAAGACTCTTTTTAGGCTCCAATGTGCAGTTGTAGGAGCTTGAAGAAATTGGCTCAAACCAATTGAAGAGGAACGCCCAGTCAGGTCTACAGAGTGCGAGATATTGTAAGCCTCCTACCACACTTCTGTAGAGATATGGTTCTTTAAAGAATGCATTGCCTTCTTTGCCCAATTTAACACCTACAGCCATTGGCGTGTTACAAGGTTTACATTCACTCATACCAGCTCAAGTTAGTAAGTCTTGAGCATATTTGGTTTGAGTGAGTAATAAGGTTGAGGTATTACGTTGGACTTCAAAGCCTATGAAGTATTGCAAAGACCCGAGATGCTTAAGAGCAAAAGCTTTGTTTAAATCTTCAATGATTTGAGTATAAGAGTGGGATCAGTTCCTGTGATGAGTATATCATCCACATAAACTAGTAAGCAGATAACTTGACTACCTTGTTTGAAAAAGAAAAGACTAGTGACTGAGACAGAGTTAGTGAATATCTAGGTAACTAACGTTGTTTTTTATTTCTCAAACCAAGCTTTAGGAGCTTGCTTTGGGCCATACAAAGCCTTGTTGAGCTTGCAAACCTGTTTAGGAAAGGCTGAATCATGAAACCCCTCAAGTTGCATCATGAAAACTGTTTCGATAAGCTCACCATTTAGGAATGCGTTATTAATGTCAATTTGCTATATTTCCCACTGATAGTGAACAACCAAAGAGAGCATTATCCTAATGGTGGTAGCCTTAACAACAGGGGAGAATGTATCAAGATAATCAAGGCTTGGAGTTTGTTGACACCCCTTAGCAACTAACCTTGCTTTATATTTTTGTAGTGTCCCATCAGCTTTAAGTTTGGTTTTAAAAACCCATTTACAGCCAACTATGTTCATGTTTGGTGAATAGGGAACTAGTTCCCAGGTTTTGTTTCGCAAGAGAGCTTTAAATTCATCATCCATAGCTACTCTCCACTCAGGTATTTTCAAAGCTTCTGAAGGAGTCTTTGGTTCAGACAAAATTTGACAAGTAGAAAGGAAAGCATAAGCTGCCTTCTGCTCCTAATTCAGTACACCCGATTCTGCAGTAGTTTGCTCCTAATTAGTACGCTAGATTCTATAGTATGATATTGATGCTGACTCTTAGAGCAAGTTATCATAGGATGACAATTAGTGACAGAGGGCATTGGCTTCGATTTAGTAATAGGCAAGACAACATCTAGCTTAATACCTGGTGATGTGTTATTTTGGGAAGAAAAACCTAAAGAGGCAATAGCAGATGTAGACTGTAATCCTAAGCCTGATATGACAGTAGTGGAGAGAGGATTTGAGCATACTGAAATTGAATTCATCAACAAACAACATGTAGTACTTAAATCCTTCATATGAACAAATGGGTGCAAGACCCCATAAATAAGAATATACCAACTCAAGAGGACTCTTAGCATGAGACGATGATAAAGGGAATGATGCTTGCTGCATTTTGCCAAATTGGCAGGCTTCACAAATAGCCATTTTATTTCCAAATGATCCAGCTACATGTATTTTATTCATTAAAATTTTGAGATTCTTCTCATGTGGATGACCCAACCTAGCATGCCACAAACTAGTAAGCCTAATTTTTGCATCAGCTTCACTACAATAGGCTGAACCAATTGGCACTGTAGGATTATTGCTATTACACTTAATAAAAGAAACAATATTGGTACTCAAATCAACAGCAGCAGATCTAGTAGTATTATTATGGTTACTAGCAGTAATTGTAGTATCAAGAGAGGCAGCAGAAACAGCAAAGAACAAGCCACCTTGTTGATCAGATCGTGAGATGAGAGCAGTACTAACAGAAGGTAAGGACACTTGTAACTGATATAGACCATCCTTAAGAGATCCTTGGAGTAGCACATCCTTGGTAAACTTATCCTTTATAAGACAAAAATCACAATGAAATTCCACAATAACATTATTATCCCTGGTTATTTGAGATATACTCAATAGATTCTTTGCAATATCTAGTACACATAGCATTTTCTTAAGATGCAGCAACCTATGACATGTAGGAGAAGAGATTAAAAGCTCAACTATATCAGTGACAAGTACATTCTGACCATTCCCAACCTGAACAGTAGACCCTCCTTGATAGTTGTCTTTGTGCAACAAATTGGTTGCATCAACAATCATATGATTAGTGGCCCCGGAGTCTACATACCAAGTTTGATCAGTGAGGACTTGAGGTGTAGCAACTAGAACATTTTGAGAGTTTCCTTCTAACGTTACGTAGGTCACCCCTTAAGGTGGCTGAGCTAAAGAAGAAGATGATCCAACTCCATGATTGTAAGAACATTCAGATTAGGTTTTTTTTTATAATTTCCGAGCTTGGGCCGTCGGTTGAATTCGAATGAATGGCTCTGGGCAAGGAATCAATCCAGTGAGATGACCTCAAGCTCATGAGCTCCAACTACAAACAGTATTTGCGATTTCCAAATCGTGATTATCTCTAGTGGCTTGGGGGAGATTACAGGGAGCGTAGTTGAGGATATTGTAGTTGAGCAAGTGAGATTATTAAAGTCATAATTATGTTTTGTCTTGAATGAATTGAATCTTTATCGGATTTGTGATGTGGAGAAGAATTTGATGAAAAATAGCCATTGTTATGTTGGTCAACGGCTCTGATACCAAGTGGAAGATAGGTTTGAGAGAGATAAAGAAACAAGAAAAGAGAAGAACACTAAGCTTTATCTATATTGATTAAAATTGTTACAGAAATTAGTTACAAGCTCTGTTATATGCATGAGCACAATACAGTGAGTCAAGTTGCTATTGCAAGGCTAGGCTAAAGTGCTTGCAGTTACTAAAATCATAGTGGACTATTGGGAAACTAATCCTAACAACCACAAAACAAATGGGAAAGAAACTTATTCCCTAGGACCACTTAAGGAAAATAGACACATTAAAAAAGTCTAAATATCAAAAGACAAAGATAAACATATCTTTTCTCTTTATCAACAGCAACTCCTGTCGGGTTGCAAAAGTCTGAAGTGAGAGTTAAGCACATACCATTGTACCACACCACTCGAGACAAACAAGCCAACACATGTCTAGCAAATTGTACACTAAGAATTGATGTGCACACACACAACAGATGGGACAAGCCAAATAAAAGGATTGGCAGTAAGTGTGCACACATAATGTTGTGCACACAACACAATTATAAATTGACAAAAATAAATATTTCAAAACCAAAGGTGAGCTTACCTCAATAGTAGTGTGTAATCATAAAAAACACTAGCTTTAAATTTTGCAACCAAAATACGTTAAATGATGCCAAGAAGTTAAAAATCAATCCATGTATCAGAGATATTCATGAGATAAAATACTGGTTGCATCGAGGTTTGAGGGGTTGGGTTACTGCAATTTAGGTTGCAGGAAAAAAAATTAAGTTACTAAAATAATAAACCTCTTCAAATAAAAACAAAGCAAAAAAATGAATATTAGTGTATGTAAAGTAATAAAATGTTTCAAGTTAATTGTATATCTAAAACAAAATGGAGTTCTAGTTGAATGAAGGATTTCAGATTCAAGAAAACAAAAACAAAAAAAAAAGAAAAAAAAAACAGAGGAATCAAACGAAAATTCTCACTGAATTGAATGAATGAATCAGTTATAGAATTGGCGGCAAATTTATATGCAGCCATTATATAAAACACAATGTTTTGATGTAGTTTGAATCTTTACAAAAAGCACCATGAGTAGTTTCTTTTATACAAAGACACCCCACTCAACTAATATTCTCCCTTAAGCAAAACCATATAGTAGATAATCTATACTTCTATGTTAATATTCACCTTAAGTTGAACATTATTAACAATGCTTCTATAACAATATGCACCCTTAAACTGAACCCTGATATGTTCCAACTTTGCAGTTCATCCAGGATTCAACTCTGCAGTTTAACCAAGAGAAACACCAGCAGATAACAAACAATATCTCCAACTCTGCACTATTTAGTCTCAGTATCATACCAATGCTTCTATACCAATAGGCACCCTTAAACTAAACACTAATATGTCTCCATATCTACGTTCATCCAGATTCAATTCTCAGTTTAACCAAGGGAAACACCAGAGATAACAAACATATCTCCAATCTGCACTATTCAATCTTAGTATCTGCACTATTGTAAGTAGATTCTATTCTCCCTGATTGAGTAGATAACAATTATTCTGCATTTAGAGCTAGGATTACTTTGTAGTTCAGAAGTGACTTGCAACTTACTCTTTTGGAACTCAAATTGACTCCCAGACACAATTTGATAATCTGTACTAACATATTGAATAGCTATCTCCTTTCAGCAGCCAATTCTCACCTAATGCAACACAATTTCTATGTGCTTTGTTCGTGCATGGAACACAGCGTTAGATGAGAAGTGCCACACTCATATCCACACATAGAAAGAGTTTGTGATGCCAATGCCAAGTTCTTGAAACAAATGCTAAACCAAACCAGTTCAGTAGCTACTTGACCAAGGGCCTGTATTCAGCTTCTGTGGAGGACAAAGAGACCACCTTCTACTTTCGAGAACTCCACTACACTAAGGTTCCTCCAGAAAGACACTACATCCATTGGTAGAACGCTTGTCGCTAACATTACTTGCCCAATCGGCATCTAAATAGCCTTCGAGTATGAGGTCTGTATTTTTCTTGAATAAAAGTTCATGCTACAGTGTGCCTTAATGTACCAAAGTACTCTTTTTAGGCTATCCAATGTGCAGTTGTAGGAGCTTGAAGAAATTGGCTCAACCGATTGACAGAGAAAGCCAACTCAGGTTCTAGAGAGTACGGCCTCTTACTGCAGTAAAACTTCTAGGTTGATAAGGATAAAACTGATTAGGAGGAGTTAGGTACACAGGGTAATTTTGATTTGCAGTATAGTAGGATGGCATTAGGTTATGTGGCTGCTATAAAGGTGTTGGGGTTGTATGTGATGAAGACTGGGATACATTAGTAAGAAATGAACAATGTACATCTGATTGTGATTTATTTTTGTTACTATCAATACTCAGATTTGCAACGTTGGCAGAGATCCCATGAAATTCAGACTGTATAGCTGAGTTAAGTACATTATTAGCCTTTTCTAACCTAAGTTCCAGTTTTTGCAGAATTATTTGAGCTTCCTAAACTGAAATAGGATCTAGTCTAGATGCTAATCTAGCAGTAATGTTTACCACATCTACATCATAATTAGAGTCAAGTCCATCTAAGATGTAATTCAACAGTTCTTCATCAGAAATAATAATTCCACTTGAAGACAAACTTTCAGCAAATCTTTTCATTTTAAGAAAGTAATTATGCATACTTAGATCATTTTTCTTTGTATTTTGCTATAAGCTCTTAACATGTAGTGTCTTAGCTCGTGACTTAGTGAGAAATTCTTTCTCTAGAGTGAGTCAAATCTTAGTTGAAAATTGACATTTAGAGATTACCGAAAAAATTGATTCTGAAATAGATGACAACAGCCAGCTGACGAGAAGTTTGTATGTCTTCTTCTAGAGGTTGTATCCGGATTAGGTTTTTGATAATTTCAAAGCTTGGACAGTCTGGTTGAATTCGAATGAATGGCGCTGGGCGAGGAATCAATCCGGTGAGATATCCTCAAGCTCATGAGCTCCGATACAAACAGTATTTGCGATTTCCGAAATCTGTGATTATCTCTAATGAGCTCGGGGGAGATCAGGGAGCATGGTTGAGGATATTATAGTTGGTAAGTGAGATTACTGAGGTCAGAATTATGTTTCTGTCTTGAATGAATGAATCTTTATCGGATTTATGATATGGAGAAGAATTTGATGAAAAATCAGCCATTGTTGACTTTGGTCAAAGGCTCTGATACCAAGTTGCAGATAGGTTTTGAGAGAGAAAAGAAAAACAAGAAAGAGAAGAACACTAAGCTTATCTATATTGATTAAAATTGTTACAGAAATTAGTTCAAGCTCTGTTAATAGATGAGCACAATACACGTGAGTCAAGTTGCTCATTAGCAAGGCTAGGCATAAGTTACTTGCTAGTTACTAAAATCATAGTGGACTATTTGGGAAACTAATCCTAACAACCACAAAACAAATTGGAAAGATAACTTTATTCCCCAGGACCACTAAGGAAAATATGACACATATAAAAAGGTCATAATATCAAGAGACAAAGATAAACATAATCTTTTTCTCTTTATCAAACATGCAACTCCTGTCGGGTTGCAAAAAGTTGAAGTGAGAGTTAAGCACAAAACTGTTGTACACACACACTCGAGACGAACAAGCCAAGACACACTGTCTTGCAAAATGTGTGCACTAAGAATTGTGTGCACACACACAACAATGGGCAAGCCAAATAAAAGGATTGGCAGTAAGTGTGCACACACACAATTCATAAGTTTGACAAAAATAAATATTTACAAAACCAAAGGTGAGCTTACCTCAATAGTAATGACTATCATACAAAACACTAGCTTCAAATTTTGCAACCAAAATACGTTTAATGATGCCAAGAAGTTAAAAATCAATCCATGGATATTCATGAGAATAAAATATAGTTGCATCGAGGTTGAGGGGTTGGGTTACTGCAATTTAGGTTGCAGGAAAAATAAATTAAATTCTAAATAATAAAAACCCTCTTCAAATTAAAAACAAACACACAAAGAATATTAGTGTATGTAAAGTAATAATGTTTCAAGTTAAGTTAATCTTAAAACAAATGGAGTTAGTCTTGTTGATGTGAAGGATTTCAAGATTCAAGAAAAAAAAAAAAAAAAAAAAAAAAAAAAAAAAAAACAGAGGAATCAAACGAAAATTCTGAGCTGAATTGAATGAATGAATCAGTTATAGAATTGGCGGCAAATTTATATACAGCCATTATATCAAAACAGAATGTTTGATGTAGTTTTGAATCTTACAAAAAGCACCCCATGAGTAGTTTCTTTTATTACAAAAGACCCCACTCATACTAATATTCTCCCTTAAGCAAAACCATATAGTAGACTAATATACTTCTATATAATATTCACCCTTAAGTTGAACATTATTAACAATGCTTCTATAACATATGCACCCTAAACTGAACACTGATATGTCTCAAATCTACAGTTCATCCGAGATTCAACTCTGTAGTTAACAAGAGAAACACCAACAG